ATATCTTCACTCTTCGACAGATTCTAGAACATAGACACACTTTTCGGCGTCCAACAATTGCCATATTTCTTGACTTGAAGGCGGCCTTCGACTCCGTGGATCGAAAGGTACTATGGCAATGTCTGACTGTTAAGGGAGTGCCAAGAAAGTACGTTGCACTAATCAAGGCACTCTATTCAAACTCACGTAGTCGTGTAAGGGCTTATGGGGAATTGTCATCTGAATTGGCAACAACCAGTGGTGTCCGACAGGGCTGTCCACTTTCCCCATTTCTGTTTAACTTCATCATAGATATGCTAATGGAAGTATCCTTAACTGAACGTAGTGACTTAGGAATCGACTTGTTACCAGGGAATAATCTTATGGACTTAGAATATGCAGATGACATAGTCCTGTTAGGGGAGGATACTGAAAAAATGCAGAGTCTTCTGAACACCTTGAGCAGCAATCTTCGTATGTTTGGCATGCGATTCGCCCCTGCAAAATGTAAGATGCTGCTACAGGACTGGACCACGTCAACCCCTAACTTAGTGATAGGGAGGGAAGTGATAGAACATGTTGACCACTTCACCTACTTGGGAAGTTGTATTAGCACCAACGGACTGATTGGCGATGAAATCTCAGCACGGATCCGAAAAGCTCGAGCTGCTTTCGCTGACTTACACCATCTCTGGCGTAGGCGTGACATCCGGTTATCAACCAAGGGACGTGTGTACTGCTCATCAGTTCGCTCCGTCCTTGTTTATGGCTCTGAAACATGGCCAATACGCGTTGAAGACATGAAAAGGTTGACTGCTTTCGATCATAGATGTCTGCGATCTCTGTCTCACGTTAGGTGGTTTCACAAGATAAGTAATGTTGATGTTAGGCGTAGAGTGTTGGGCAAAGAGGGAAAATCAATCGACGAGGCTATAAAGTTACATAGACTAAGATGGCTAGGTCACGTGCTGCGCATGCCTAACCACCGCCTCACCCGACGGGCTTTGCTAGCTGATATAGGTTCAGGTTGGAAAAGAGCCAGTGGTGGCCAAACAAAAACATGGCCTCATCAATCCATGAAATCCTTGACAGCTAAACTGAGTCAGGTAGGGAGATGCAGACTCCCGGGTTGGGGCCCTCGGGACTCTAGGAATCAATGGCTGGAGACAATAGGTGACATGGCTCAAAATCGTTGTCAATGGCCAGTGCAGATGTATTCAGTCTCTGTAATCTTTCATATTCCTTTCTACCATTACCCATTCTGTTTCACTCTTATACTTGTCAAACTCTATTAATTCTCTTCACTCATCTTCTTGTCTACCTCTGTGTGCTGTTTGGAACGTGGCAACTCGAACTGGTGCACTTCGGTGCCAAGTTCTATGTTGAATCCAGACAGAGACAGAATGGATACAGGACTCCGACCAGAACAAGCTGAAGTTTGAGAATAGTTCACCATTGTCGTTGATTTCACCGAGGGCCTCGCGACTCATGGTGGGTTCTCTTCCTGTATTGTCTCCTCCCAGCTTCTCATTCATATCACCCATCAGGATTTCGATATCACCACTTGTGACGTTGTCCATTACTGTTTATAGTTGTCTGTAGAAAGCCTCCTTCTTTTCTTGTTCTGAGACGTTTGTGGGCGCATAGCATTGGATGATTGTAACCTTCCTTCCTTTTTGAGTTTAACCTGGCTGTCATTATCCTGGAGGAGATTGGTTCCCACTGCATGAGAGCGTTGGCTGCTGTTGGTGACATCGTGATGGCCACTCCCTCGGTGTGCTCGTGATTGTCCTCTGGGTGATTGGAATAGATTTTTGTCTCTCCAGTTGATAGTTGGCTCTCGCTCTCGCAGATTCCCAACACTTCTATTCTATATCTTTTTCACTTCAGTGGCTACCCGGGCAGCCTTTCCAGTTTCGTACATTGTACGAACATTCCACGTCCCCATTCTTTATTTTCGCTTTCATCGAAAGAAGGCACATCGGCTGACTAGCTTCCCGAAGGCTTTCATCAGCTTGCGTCATATCTTTCCCCGATTCCAGCGAAAAATAAGGCTATTGTGTATATTTTTAGAATTTTTAATATATTTGTGCATTGAAGTTTCTATAACGATTTGGTTAAGTTTTGGGGGTGGAGTTGCTAGAACCACGCCCTCCCTCCGAGCACCACCATCACCTCCCCTCTTTATCCGGGCTTGGAACCGGCTAGAGATTTAGTGAGCTGGTGATTTAGGCGAGGTTCCAGAGGACAATTGAGCTGACATAATTTGTTTTTAAGTCAGTTTATGAGCTCGAATAACATTTTAATATGAATCACGTAAAAGGTTACTGACTTTCCCTCCTAGTGTGATAACAATACCTTCTGTGTATATTTGGTGTTCAGGTCTATATAGTTCAATTTAGCCGTATTCATATCTATACAAATGACCTGTTAATTAGGCTGATAATGTGCGGAAGCTTTCCTTACATGCATTTTGTAGTTTGACTTTTTTTGTCCTTTCACTGATACATTTCACTAGCCGTATTTTTACTGACATTGGATGGAATGAACCGAAATCTAAATATCCACTTAATTGTGTAGCTTCCCTGTGTACACAAGTGCTTAACTTCCCTTCTTTTTCTTTTTTATGACAGTCTATCGTTTGAGGGTCCTCCTGGTGATTTTCTAACTTATGAGTCCACTGTTACTTTTGCTCAGAACAAAATATTCAGAGCAAACAATTGTTTTCAATAAATTCTTCTTCAGGCTCTACAATTATAAATCCATAAATTTAAGCATACAATAGCCAGTAAAGGCAAATTAGAATCATATCAGAAAGTTGCTTTCAGAAAATGTTTCTTCCCCATTTTTAATACTTCGGATGTCATATATTTATATATAATATATAGCTGTACTAAATTTTGAGGGTAGGGATGGATGTTCCAAGCCCTATCTTCTGCCATCTTCCCTTAAACATATCCACCACAACTTCGCATATCGGTAATCCTATGATGACCCCTCGGTTTAGCCAGTGCATTTTCCCATGGAACTTAAATACTAGGGTATTTAGCAATAACTAAATCCTTAAGGCGGTCTTCTAGTGATACTTTCGTTCTAAGTCGGAGTTTTTGGTCAGAAATGAGTTCGTCTCAAAACACTTCTAGTCATGTTTATTTGTACGTTTGTATGAACTGATGATATCGAACCTAATCATATTTTCATCGCCTAATTTTGTTACTGAAGCAGAATTAGTAAGTCTATATTTGTAACTGTTTCTGTTTTGACATGTTCCCATGGCTAAATGTTTAGACAATATGTAATTTGATGTTTATTTCAAATCATTCAGAAGGCTAACGGGATATATCCTACTAGGGTTATTATTTCTAGCTATTAAATTGAACCATCAGGACTCATATAGATGCGGTTTCATTTGGCGTATAAGGTTTCCTTAGGGTTCCTTAACTTGATGCATGATACTGGCTCTTAGTTCCTTAATTTATCCAGCTTATAATACTGTTTCACTGAAATCTATTTAATAAATAAATTAGTATGTGACCCTGTAGTTATTCCTGAATTTGAAGAGAAATAGTCCATATGTTATCTATGCTTTATTTTGCTTTCTAATTATAGTACACTTGTCCGACTGAATTCTAAGTTGGAACTTTGCTTGAAGTTACAGGAGTTCAAGTACGGAAAGGCAGAATAAAGGGGTTTCAAAAGTACTTTAATACACAGAAATGTGAGGAAGAAAGAGTAATAGCATGGAAAACACTAGGGTTTAATGAATATGGAAGATCGCAAGGAGTGAACTCATCTGCGCTGTTGAGAACAATTTTGAGCCATATCTCCGAAAGTCTTTGGCGATTAGTTCTTGGAATCGCGAAGACTCCAACCAAAACACATGCCCATGTTTTACATATATATTAACAGGACACAAACATTTGTGGTCAAAGATAGCTAGCCTCTTCACATCTTCCACTTTCTGTAGCCATGTCTCACAACCATAAAGGAGAACAGAGCAAACTGCCACACAGTACCCACGTCCTTTTGATCGATAGCCAGATGCAATGTCTATTCAGAGTACCCTGCATTTTGTCAGCGTTCCCACTTAGGAGGACAATATCGAACTCGTACTCTAATTAAACAAAATAATACCCTGGTAACAAGTTCATCCTTTAGATACTAAAGTCGATTAAAGCCAATACCACTCATAGATATATTATGTAATAGTCTGAAATGGAGGCAGCCGGCATCCGTGACGGCCACCACTGGTTGTAATATCTTTAGCGCTCTTCTCATCTGCTCCTTAGAGTACAAAACTTGTAGAATTGCAATTGGAAAGGCAGCAGAATGTCTTCAGTACAATAAATGTGTAATTTGGACAAGGTTAGACGCATTTGAATGATCTGCCTTGCTGACTGAAGATTCTAGCCATTGTTACTTGGTTTCTTTACGTGCCTCAAATTGGCTGGCAATCACTTCGTGAATAAATGGTACTTTCGGTGGCTACTTGTGTAAACCCTCAGGAAGCAGTGGTATACGTACGCCTACAATTATGTGGAGCTTTTAATATCGCTTCAGTTAGGCGTTCTGGGATCTACTGTTTTGTTATCAAGGTGTGGCAGCGTAGGCTGTGTAACTAGCTTAACCAATTCAATCCTGACAAGAATGCTTGTAATTTTCGACATGTAATTAGTAAGGATAGATGATACTTAATAGTGCACACAGACAGTGGTGGGTCATACTTACTACTGCTCTGTTAAGCAACTACAGTTGATAAACTCAAAAGTAACCTACGGTTCTACTTCCTAGTGAATGCCAGTTTACTTGGAGTAGGGATGATTGTTCTCTTTGGAACCTTGACTGCTGTTCAGTCAAGTTTCTATGGTGTGAGCCATGCACCTCTAGCAGTACAGCCAGAATTGTTATTTGCGTTATTCGTGGACATAAAGCAAAGTTGAAGTCAGGGAGTTTGATTTCTAGAAGTATATTTGCGCGTAACGCGTGATATGATGGTATTTATTCTCTCATTCCTCTTGCAGGATTCAAAGTCGTACTACCTCCAATCACCACAAAACAATTTCCAGTCAGTCAGAATGAGTTCAAAGGTATGAGAATTATCTTTGTAGTTAATTTTTTCCAGAGTGATATGCGCGTGCCTAAGCCTCCTAAACCACCTGAGAAGCCGTTGATGCCGTATATGCGGTACAGTCGTAAGGTGTGGGAGCAAGTGAAGAATTCGAACCCACATCTGAAATTGTGGGAGGTGGGTAAGATTATTGGTCAAATGTGGCGTGAACTACCTGACGATGAAAAAATGTTGTACATGGAAGAGTACGATGCTGAGAAGACACAATATACAGAGTTGTTACGTCAGTACCATACTTCACCGGCTTATCAAGCCTGGTTGCTCGCAAAGGAGAGAGGTAACAAGTGTTGATGATGATAGTGTGATAATAATCTGCATTGTTGTTCAGCGGAGAAAAGCATGGAGGAACAAGACCAGGAACGAAGACAATCGATTTTGAGATCAAGAGATCGTGGTAATGAAGTCCCTCAAGGAGACTTAAGGGAATCTTACATCTTGGAAGATAACGAAGAAGGTACTTTCTGTTTTCAATAATATTATGAGTGTCAACTGAGTTTGTGAACATTCCCATCAAAGTAATAATAGTAATGATAGCCAGTAATCAGAAACCGAAAAGCATATACCGTGTGTGATGTGTACAAGTTAGTTGAACCAGTTACTTAACCAGTGATGTTAGTGACAGTGTATTTGCGTTATGTTTTCGAGTTGACACACCTTTGAACACATTTCTTTGTATAACTCCAGTGGTGCCTGATATTCAACGAGCGACTGAACCACTCGTGGAAACCACACTGGTTATGTTGTATCGTAGATGAGAGTTTTGGATGTGAGAATGTGTACAAGTCTGAGTACTTTTGCCTTGTACATACCACTTTGTTGTCTTTGTTATCATCTGATAGGGACAAATTGAAGCTCTTTAAAAACCAAACGTTTCGTGATTCTTTTTGTTAGTTGAATTTGGAGTTGTCGAGTATAGGTCCAATAGTTGACTAGCTCCCTGTAGTTATATTTCGTTAGGGAGTGCTCCAACCTCAGTTTTAGTACATTTCACAGTACTTAACCATGAGAATGGACGCACCAGTGAGTGTTACGTAAGCTACTAAGGGAAATCTGGTGGTAGAATATACTTTACTTGACAGTTTGTAGTATTTCTCTTCGAGTTGACGAACTTTGTTTGTTATGTTTTGTTTGTTTTCTGTGTAGATACTGAAGATCAGTACACTGCAAAACATGTAGCTGCAGCTCGTTTCCAAAGAAATCACCGTTTGATGCTAGAAGTGTTGAGTGATGCTAGACTCCCTGATCCTGGCCAATTGATAACCCAGAGCAGATTGGACATGTTGCGCCTGCAAGTGGAACAACTGAGAAATCACAAACGCAACCTATGTCAAGAGATTGACGGGTGTGAAGCACGTCACCAAGCCAAGGTTCAACGTATCCGTGAAGAGTCCGAGCGTTTTCGACTAGAGTACGAGAAGATCAAAGCAGGACGGCCAGTTATCACGGAGTCTCAGTTTGCTGATATGATAGTAAAGCGAAGCAGGATATACAGCGTGAGGAGGAAGATCGGAAGTCTCGTTATTTGGCGGAGTTGGAGATGAGACGTCGACGTCAGCAGCAACGACAGCAGCGAGAGGCGGAATTGCTGGAGTCAGAACGCCGACGTCAGTTACTGCAGCACCACAACAACAGCAGCAGCACAACAACAACAGTTGCAGCAAGCTCATATGCGACCAGCACATCCACCTGTCGTTCATGGTGATCCAAATATTCAATTTACTGACCGTCCACTGGAAAGACTAATAGTTCAGGTGTGTATTCATTTGTTGTTTACCCTGTTGACACTATTGTATGAGAGGATTTACGCAACTTCGTGTGACGTTACTTGCTGTAGCTGGTGTCATAAACACCGTGTCTACTGATGAGTTGTGCAAATTATTTTAATGTGAATAGGTTGTAACTGCTGAATTAGTTGTGATAGAGAAGTCATGGTTATGTCATTAATGTTTACTGAACTGGACTGGATAGGTTTGAGTTGATGATGTTCAAAGTTCAAAGCATGCTTCATCGAGTGATATGTCGGTGGCCTATTAGTTCCTTTTGTTGTGCATGTGTGTTGCATGTACATAGGGCGTTCGTCATTATTCCTTTTCACTTCATATCTACGTCTTTACTTTCAGTCTGTTGCGTCTATATGTTTTTGTTTAGTGAAGTGTGAGATTAGTAGAAATGAGTGCAAAAGTATGACCAAATAGTTAGACCCCAGATTGTTGAAACAAATTATGTCGTTCGGAATCTTCAGGCAACATAAATCCGTGTGTGGAAATACAATATGGTGTAGTTAGTTCGATGCTTTGTATTGATGCACATGACTTTAGTCGGCTCATCACTCTCCATCTGTAGGAATTCTGTTGCTGTTCAGTTAGTTGGGAAATCACTGATGCGTGTTACAATTGTGTATTATCTGAGATAGGATGCATTGGTCTTTGATGATCTTTGCCTTATTGTGATGTTTGGAAACACCGGAATATGTGATGATAGGGTCATACCGACTGACTTTTGCCTATCAGCTCAACAGTGCAGTGCATTCGATATTATGTATTAGTATTTTCTAGAAGAAAGTAATTATTCCCTCACTGGTAGGTGTGTGTGGCCTGTATCACCCAATAATCAATATGTCAAAGCTAAGGTCATTGTGGCAGAGAAATAGTATTGAGAAGGTCTTCCCCTTATGTTAAATGGAAGGCATTTTTTAAAATTATTCCTTCATGTTCCGATTGGAACATAGGGCTTCAACCTAGAGGCTTGAAGTTTCTGTAGAAGCGGTGGTCATTTTAACAGGATGGGGTTGCTAGCCAGCCTCATGCCCAACCCTCCCTCTTTACCAGTTTTTTATTACTGGCTAACTGAGGCAAAGGAGTGTGTCGGTGGCCGGGGATCGAATTCCGGGCCACATGAGGCGTGGTTGGCGAGCATTCTACCGCTGTGCCACCGACGCACAAATGGAATGTATAGGTGTGAAGAAGTGAAGAGGTGGATTCCCTCCGTGTTAATGTTAAACTTGAAATAAAGTGACTAATATATAACGTGGGTTATAATTGTGAGGACGTTTTACGTGCCAGATGACTTTCACATATATTCCCTCTTATGCTTGTCTGTTTTGAAGTTAGTGGTGTGATTTTGCGGAATGAAGTCAAATGTAGATGAGAAGTTCATATAAGATATGCTTGTGTGTTTGTGAGTTTATGTTAATCAGTATTGGGTTTGATTTTTCACATGACTGTTTTTGTTGAATACTTTGTACCAGGATAAAAGGGAAGATGCAAGTTGTCAGCCTACACCATCGAAGTTACCGGCCACTTCAACAAGTCTAGTAAATCCTGTAAGTGGGAAAGGAGCTGCTTCTGAGGTAGTTCACTCTGGGAGTGGTGCAGTGTACCCTTCTGGAATATGCAATGCTTTCACACAGCCTGCGAATCAGAATTCAGTATCCAGGTTTCCTCAGTCTGGTCACACGCAACATCACTACCCACCGCCACCACATTATATACCTAATGCCGTGCCACCGGGAAATCCCACCAGTTTGGTTCATCAGCGTAGTCCGTTACCAAGCATTCAACAAGCCACGCCAAGCAATGCGGCTAAAGCCAACTCAACAACACCCGTGAACCGTACGAAGAAAGTTGCATCATCTGGATCGTCTACTTCATCTGCTTCTTCAGCCTCTTCGACATCTTCGAAGAAGAAGAAGGCTGATTGTGATGTGAGCAAAGAAGCGACGAGTCAGGAAATGCGAGAACGGCCGACTTCTAGTTCAGGTGAAAGTGTTGTGGACCCTAACCAGATGAAGTCTAATGATTTGGCGAATGTGACTCCTGGCCATTCGAATGAGTTTCAACAAGGGTTATCAGGACAGCCGAGGCACGTTGTTGCTTCTCAGTACCAACCAAGTAATGTCCCTTCAAACGTTGTCAGCTCAGCCCAGGTGTCTGGGGCTCCAGTACAAGCACCGTACGCGTACGAGGTTAGCATGTCGAATCCATCAAACCCCCCACCTCTACCTGGTGGTGCTTATTATCCCCATCATCCGCCTGTTACCATGTCTAATCCCAGTGGTTATTCTCATGCACGCGTCCAATTCTCACAACACACTCCTTACAACGCTATGCAGTACCACCATATGCCTCAACAAGCGTCTTCGGAGCAGCCACAGCCGCCACCACCACCACCTATGTATGTGCAGCATATGGCACAGAATGCTGCACCGCATGTCCCACAACAACCTGGAACACCAGTGGGAGGACCTAACCAACATCCTCCTAGCCACATCCCACAAGCACCACCACCACCTCACCAACACAATGCAAGCAATTGGCATCCAGCAGGTGCATCACCATACCCTGCACACTATGGTCCTTCTCGTTATCCAGTTCCGAGTGGTGGTGGTGGTGGTCACGTGGGTTATCCTCCCATGCAACCGCCACGTAATTTTGGCCCGAATTCTGGTGGATATTCTTCAGTGCCTCATTATTTGGTTGGTCAGCAGAACCCACAAGCCCATCCTCACCAAAATGTCCTCCCAGCTGTGCCAGTTAGTCTACAAGATGGATCGAGTGGAGGATCCCAGCCAATCCCAGCACCACCACCGTACCAGCAGCAGCAGCAACAACAACAGCAGCAGGCGAGTTCTGTCGTTGGTTATTGGCCGACACAACATCAAGTACCTCCAGACTATGTTCAGAGTCAACAACCGTCTCACTACGCGGTGGCGCCTGGTTCTCAATCAGAGAGTATGGGAGGCGCAAACCAGCAGCAAGTATTATCATCGGTGGATGGTGTCCATCCATGTTCTGGTATATCTGGACCTCCTGGGGATGGTGGGATGAGTCAAATGCAAATGGTGCCGTCGAACCAATCTCAGGGAGCGAACATTTATTATCCAGGTAATCAATCCCTTGTCATTTGTTTTGTGTATGACGTCATTTTGTACGCAGATGGCATTGGAGAGCTATTGTGCTCAACAAGAGTTATTTTTGTCTGATTCACGATGATTATTAGTGGAATGATGACATGGTTTGCGAAGGGAGTTGGTGTTGGTAGTTTAGTTTGTAGATCGTTTGGCTGGTTGGCAGTCACTGGCTCGTTTCTTGCTATGAGTATATCAGGCTTAGTCGTCGTCACTCACTGCATCAGTGAAACAAATAGGCAGGAAGAAATGGAGATGGATTGGCCATATTCTGAGAAAACAAACTATCAAGTGACATCACTAGACAATCCGTTGCTCGATTGGCACCCGAAAAGGGAAGCGGCGAGTTGGTCGTCGTTGCGATGATGGGGTGACTTGGAGGAGGTCATGTGAGGAGGAGATAAAAGCATGTGGGGAGACTTGAAGCGGGGTGAATAAGTTGGCAAAAAACCGAAGGCAATGGAGGTACGCAACTGAAGCCCTATGTTCATCTAGGAATTAAAGGATAAAATAATAATAATACATTCACAAATAATAATAATACGGGTGTTATTGATCAATTACAGTCAGATGGGAAATAAGACGAGTGTATTTATTTTATATATTTATTTATATTTTTATTCAAATACCTGGTCAATTCCACACTTGTATATAAATGAAGGAAAAAAGTTGTTTGAGTGAGTGACTTGATATGATGATTATGAGTGGCAATAGTTTGTGCTCGAAACGTGGTCGCATCAGTTAATATTACTTACTGTATAACACTGTGTGACACTTTATCAAAATAAAATCTTTTCCATAATGGAGTTATACTCTACCACCTCAGTGCCAAAGTTTTATACCTATATCAATCTTGAAATATATTTCCTTGTGTTTATTCTTTTACACAAGTTATTCGTTTCACTGAATCTATTCAGTAATTCTGCTTTGCTGTGACTTAGAGATATCTAAATTAGACTGCGTTTGATGGCGTATTTTTTTGGATAAATGTATAATATAAAGTAGTAGTAAAATGATAGTAGTTGCGTCAACGTCTAGTGGAGAAACGCAACAACTGCGCCTTATTACGTATTCGGAAACATGTATGAATTCTGATATTGTATGTTTAAGCTAGATAAATAAAATCTCCAGTTCAAAATTTACTGACTGTCGTATAGGAAGTGTAATACATAGCACTTAACACTGCTTGATATATTAACTTAATTCCAAGTATTTGAAGCTACCCATAAATATCGTCGTAGCAGCTCTGAATACATGTGAAGGTTTGGTATAGAGTACAACAACAACAACCAGCACCAATCACCATCAACAGGAGAGATTTAACAGAGATTACATCCTTCACTTATCTAGAAAGCATCGTTTCAACTACAGGCAGTCGAAACGGATGAAGGTGTGTCAAAGCGAGAATCGGAAAGTTAAGACACACTTGCATCAACCTGAAACCACTTTGGAAATCTCCTGCACTCCCGTGTCAGCATAAAGTACAAGATTTGGATTATCGACACAAATGTAAAGTCAGTCAGTCAGTCAGTCAGTTCTTCTTCTATGCAGGTCAGAAGCGCTTGCTTGGTCAGTGTGTCGCGAATAAGTATTTCCAACACGTTACAGACGTTACATCAACAGCTGCCTTCCTTGGCTCTATATATTGAAGATCAAACGGCCAATCGGACTTGCTATAAAAAGAAATTAGCAACAAAAAAAAACTCTGATTATGAACAAACTGAACCATCAGCCTATTGCTCAACAAATATGCTGTGTGAAAATGGAGATGGATTAGGCATACGTGTTGAGTAGGAGGCTGTTGGATGTGACGTCGCTCATCAGGCGCTCTAGTTGAACCCCAATAGGAAACGACTAGTGGGTCGTCAATACGAGGGTGACATGGAGGAGATCGCGTGGCGCGGAGGAGATGAGAGATCATAGTCAGTCGTGGACGCAGCTGAAGAGGGCGGTAGAAGATAGGACAAAATAAAGATGTGTCGTTGAAACAGTATGTTACACTCGGAACACAAGGGAATAATAATAATAAAAGAAGAATTAAATAAATTGCTAAGAAAGGCTAAAATGTCTGTAGAGATAGGGTTATGAGCTAAGATGACTTAGAATGAATCGTTACTCAATGACCTCATGCCATTTTGATGTACTTGGCAATGAGATGTTATATGAGGCCTATACTTTTAGCGTATTAATTTTCCTTATCTCTTTAATCTGCTATAACGTCTTTTGGATTTTGTATTTGTTGTGCTTTAAATCCCGCGGATATTTTTACGTTTCATTATACTAAGTTTATCTTAGTAATTTAGATCAGTTAACATAGTTCTCGTTGTTCTGTTATCAAATATGCTTTAGAATTCAAGTCGAGGGTAAACATGCCACGATGTCCTTGTCTCTCCACTTTCTGAAGGTGATATGGCTTAATGAAATGTTCTTGATAAGCACACACACTTGGTTTGGGTAATTATTAGTGTTCGTTACTTGAAAATGTCAATAACTTTGTGTATATAGGTAATTGTATGAATACTGACAGTGTGACCGATACAATTTCTTACTGTATAGTGAAAGCTAGAGGGGTATACATCAGTCTAGCTGCCAAACGTTGGGTTTTCAATGCTTCGGTAAGCTCTGTTTTGCTCTAGGTCTTCGAAACCTGCCCTCTCTGAGCTGAGGGTGTGTGGCGACTGTGCGTATTCGATCATCGTTGTCTTCGTAGAATTGCTAGCTTTCGATGTTATCATCGTGTGAGTAATTCTGAGATCCGGTGATGCGTGTTTGGACACAGTTGAGATCACAGTTCATTTAGTATCGTCATCTAGAAACACCTTGTTTAGTGGTTTGGACATGTGCTACGAATGTTCTTCCCAGAGGCTCCCAATACGCCTTGCCGTTCGCTAGCATTGGGTCGTGTCCGAGAGATCCTTTCAGTCTGTACTCAAGATGTTATCAGATATGGCCAAGAATCGTAATCACAGTTGTGAATATGCTGCAATTTTTACTGCCTCCTCCTCTTTCTGAAAGTTACACGAAGTAATGAACGATATTGATGAATATAACTGACTGCTTTCTGGATGAATTCTCTCACTTAATTGATCCCTATTTTTCTTGTGTATTGTTGTTTTATTATGTTTGTGTAGCGTATATCTTGGCGCCGATGTTGTGCCAAGTTTGCATTTTTGCACAATAGGTTTGAATGAATATCCACTCTCTGAAATGTAGGCATGCCTTCTTTCACTTTATGATTACAGGCTGACTGACACCAATGGAATATGCTTTATTTGCATTGTTACAATGGGTAATCCTTCTTTCATTTTAGTGTTCACTAAGCTTATCAGAATCATGCAGCCATGTTAAGTGATACGTTTCTTGCGTTTCTAGGCATTTGACAATGAGTCACACAAATTTTTATACCTGACTGTGTAAACTTCAGTTGGCGGAGCGGGGTTCGAACCCACGACTTGGTGGTTGGAAGTCGAGCACCTAAACCATAGAGTCACAACTACACACGTGTGAAATCCTGTGTGTTCTTACTCTTTTAATTAATTAATTAATTATATCTTTTCAACAACGAATTTATTATCAAGCTGTAGAATCGTATATATATGGTGCTTTTTAGAGAAATTATATCCGGTGAGGGAATTGGGTCAAAGGTGTGAATACATGAAGTAATAATAGTAGTAGTATGAAATGCAGCTAAAATATTTGTGATTATAATCATAGTTTAATATCGCGTAGCAAAACAATCAATGTCATATATAGAATAATACATAAGGTGTATAGATGTTCGGGAGGAGTACATAATTATAGGGTTAGTAGGCGAATATAAAATGTTGCATAACGTGGTAAGAAAATGGGTAAGATAGAATTCAAATATTAAAAATTAATAATTTTGGGTTTAGAATGACAAGTGGGACAAGTGGAAAAGATTCAGAGTGTGAATAGTAATAATAATAATGATAATAATAACCGTAGTAATAAGGGAAAAGTACGTAGAATAACTAAATAAACAGAATAAATAAATAAATGTCTATCCCTCTACGGCCAGGGCAGAAGTAGGGATTGTACATACTTCCTTTGTACACAAAGGTCTGGCTTAAAGTCATGAATTGCCAAGGTCTCAGCTGTCTTTAGAAGTCTGTAACGAAGAAAACGCGGGAAGTTAGCATCGATTCTACATATGATCTGAAAATCACGGTAAGAGTGACAGAAGTCGATCAGGTTTTCAAGAATAGAGCTTCTGTAAAAGATAAGCTCCCCCTTCTGGACGCCCCCATGTGCATCTATCAGTTCACCTGCTCTTGTGGAGCAAGGTACATTGGCCGTAGTCAGAGGACGCTTTCAACATGGATTCGAAAACATATTCCAGCTTGGTTTTACAAGGGAGAAAGGAAGTGTGTGCGAAGCTCTATTCTGGAACACCTGATCGACTCCTGTCACTCTGACCATGATTTTGAGATCATATATAGAATTCATGCTAACTTCCTGTGTTTCCTTCGTTACAGACTTCCAAAGACAGCTGAGGCCTTTGGCAATTCATGACTTTAAGCCAGACCTTTGTGTACAAAAGAGGTACGTACAATTCCTACTTCTGCCCTGGCCGTAAAGAAATAAGCATTAATTTATTTTGTTTATCTAGTTATTCTATGTACCTTTCCCTTATTACTACGATTATTATTATCATTATTATTATCATCACTATTATTATTACTATTCTCACTCTGAATCTTTTCCACTTGTCCCACTTGTCATTCTAAACCCAAAATTATTAATTTTTGAATTCTATCTTACCCATTTTCTTACCACGTTATGCAACATTTTATATTCGCCTACTAACCCTATAATTATGCACTCCTCCCGAACATCTATACACCTTATGTATTATTCTATATATGACATTGATTGTTTTGCTACGCGATATTAAACTATGATTATAATCACAAATATTTTAGCTGCATTTCATACTACTACTATTATTACTTCATG